TTTTTTTCTTCTGGCCATCTTTTGAGAAACTGGAAACACTATTATCACTTTGATCCCCAAATGTATGTACCTAGAAGCCTTGTATAATTATAGACCTATAAGTCTTTGTGGGGGTGTTATATAAGATCATTGCTAAATTGTTAGCTGATAGATTGAAAACGTGTCTGGATGTTTGTATTAGTCGTGCCCCAACTGCTTTTATGCCTGGTAGAATGTTGTTGGATAATGTGGTGATTGCTCATGAGGCCTGTTTTATTTCTTGCATAGACATAGAACATGTCCTAATGTGTTTATGGCTATTAAATTGGATATGGAGAAGGTCTGTGACAGGGTTGAGTGGGAGAGCATTAGGAAAGTGATGGGGAGGATGGGGTTCCATGCTAAATTTATTTAGTGGATTAATAACTGTATTTCTGCCCCAACCCTTTCTTTTAATTTGACTAGCAATGTGTATGGCTATGTGACTTCTTCCAGGGGGATTAGACTAGGGGACCCTTGTCCCCCTACTTATTCATTGTGGTCTCAGATATTTTCTCCTCTTACTTGCAACATAAGGTCTCTTGTGGTGTTTTCAGAGGGATTAAAGTTTATAGAGATTGTCATATGGTCTCACACTTGCTTATTGTCGATGATGCCCTTGTGTTTTGTAAGGCTGATGAAGCACATGCAGGTTTGTTGCTGGTTATTCTCCATAAGTATGATATGTTTGCAGGCCAAAAATTGGTCTGAAGCTTTGAGTGCCAGGATTTCTGCTATTTTGGAAGGTGTGAAGGTGAAAAGATCATTCAGGTACCTTGGCTTACCCTTAGGGACTGAGGCTTCTAAAGTAGATATTTTTTAGTTTGTTGTTGATGTTGTGAGAAACATGATATGTAGTTGGAAGAATCATTTCTTATCAACTACAGGTAAGGAGACTTTGGTGAAATTTGTGTTATGTGTTTTGAAAGTGTTTGTCATGTCCTGCTTTGTATTACCTGTCAGTGTGTGTAAGGAAGTGTGCATATTGGTTTCTAATTTTTGGTGGCAGAGGGGAGACAACAAGAAACATTGTATGCATTGGTTATCCTGGGACAAACTTATTGTGCCCAAAAGTGAGGATGGTCTTAGGTTCAAAGACCTAAAACTGTTCAATAAAGCCCTGATTTTGAAGCAGTTGTGGAGACTCATAGAACAACCTGACCTTCTTATGAGTAGGGTCCTTAGAAGCAAGTACTTCAACAACTGTTCTATCTTTGAGTGGCATAACACTGGGGTGCTTCCTGGCTTTCGAACTCTTGGGCTTCTTTTCTCTCTGAATTACAAAAGCATGTGAGAATCACTATTAGAAATTGACACTAGGTTAAATGAGGTTAATTGGGTCCTGGATTGCATAGTGCCAAGCCTGAGCTTAGAGTTGAGATTGATGAGAACCTGTATTAGGTGAAGGACCTGCTCATTGCTGGTGGAGTTCAGTGGGATAACATTTTGAGTTCAGTGGGATAACATTTTGATTAGAGCTTTATTCTCCTCTGAGGCTGCTGATAAAATCCTTCAAATCAAGTCTCTGAATCCCAGAGTAGCAGACAAATGGCAGTGTGACCTGTTGGATAAGGGAAAATTCCCAGTGAATCAGACATATTCTAAACTTCATGCAGAAAAGGTGAACTCAAGATCAGTGGCTGAAAGTAGTGCTATAGCAGGTGCAAAACAGAAGAGCAGAAGGAGACTATGGATCTTAAGGTGATGGGGAAGGTGAAACATTTTATCTGGCAATGCTTTTCTAATATTCTCCCTGCTAGCTAAAACCTGCATAGAAGAGGGCTTCTTGTGTAGGACAATTGTGGAGTCTGTGGCGAGAGGAAAGAGATCCAGGAACATATTCTTTTCTTATGCAGTAAAGCTAGGACTATTTGGCAAATTGCTCCAGAAGAGGGTGCACTCAGAACGGATGACATTTAAGCATTCGTGGTGGTGGATAAGCACTATGCAGCTCAATGAGATATCAGAAGACATGATCCAACTCTTTACTTACATCATGTGGTGGCTATGG